GTTTTCTTGGTAAAGTATCTGTCATTAGTAAGCTGCATGTCTTTGAACAAACCACTTAGTCATAAGATTTTAGAGTTAGAAGAGACTTTAAAGGTAACCCAGACCAATCTACTCATCTTACAGATGAGGGAATGGAAACTCAAGAGTCGAAGTGATCAAGCACTAATAAGTAACGCTATTAATAATAGCAATAAAAAATAATAAAATAAAATAAATAAAAAATAAAGTAATACTAACAATAATACTCTTAAGTAGCAGAACCAGGCTTTGAATACATTTCTTCTAGACCCGAATTCTATTCCCTGTTATAGAATCACAAAATCCCATATTTGGAAGGAACTTTGAAGGCCAACTGATCCAACTTATTCTTAAATGCAAATACTTTCTACCAAACTCCTTGAAAAGGGGTCTTTCACCCTTTACTTGAAGACCCCAAAGAAAGAGGACTCCATTACCTTCCAAGGTAGCCCGTTCCACTTTAGATAGTTCTAACTGAAAGATTTTCTTCCCATCAAGACTAAATCTGCCCTCCTCTACCTTTTTACCTTTGCATGTAGTTCTGCCCCTGGAGCAGAACAAGTTGTGATGCCTCTTCCAAATACCAGCCCTGCAAATATTTTAAGATTGCTGGCATGTCTCTGTGTTACCTCTCCTATGAAGTCTTCTCTTCTCTAGTCCTGTGGTCTCAAAACTGGGGGCTATGGCATGATCTCAAGAGGTAATGATTGGCCAATCAATCAGAGAGTGGGCAGATACATCATATCCCACAATATTCAATCATGAGGCTTGTTTCCAACATAACCCTACCTATCCTTCACCTCTTACAGCCCAACACAATACCAGTGTATCCCTTTCCACTGCTGTGCAAGCTCTCCTAACTTTTCTCCTTCCGAGTCCAGTATCAACTCCTCAGGGCAGTTACAACCTGCCTCAAACCTGGTTCACCTAGCTGCTTGTGTCATCTTCTCTTAAGATTACCTTCCATCTGTTCTGTAGTTATAGTTTATGTTTTGAATATCTATTGTCTCCTACATTAGAACGCAAGCTTCTTTAGGTCATGGATTTTTATCCCCAATGTTTTTTGTAAGGCTTAATAAATGCTTGTTAATTGATTGATGGTGCATCCACAGCAGTTGCTACACAGGTCCACTGGGAAAAATTATGCCCCAACTGCCCCATCTCTCTTATCTACCAAGAAAAATGTACTAATAAGAGTACATGATCAAAAAATGTTTGGGGACTTCTACTCCAAGCTAAACATCCCAATTCTTTCATTTAATTGTCATATGGTGTGGTATGGAAGCCCTTCATCATCACACTCATCTGAACTTTTTCTAACATCTTTCCAACTCTATCTAAATTGTGGACCTCCAAATTGAACATACTATTCCATTTATGGTCTGATCGAGGCAAGAGATGGTGAAATGATCACCTCTCTAATCTTGGTTATTTTGCCTTTCTTAATGTTGCCTAAGGTTGCATTAACTACGTTGGCTATAATATCATACTGTTGAGTGATGAGTTTGTAATCCACTAAAAAGCCAAGTCTTTTTCAGACAAACTGTTGTTTAGCCATGGCTCTTCCTTTTGATACTTATAAAACTGATTTTTTTTAAAAACCTAGTGTAAGATGTTGCATTTATACCTATTAAATTTCATTTTATTAGATTTGGTCCGGTGATATAACCTGTTGAGAACTTAATGATTGTGATTACGTGGCAGCTAGATGGTACAATGGATAGAGTGGAGTCTGGAGTCATGAAGATGAATTCGAATCTAACCTCAGACACTTACAACTTGTGCAACCTAGGGGGAAGTCACTTAACCTCTGCCTGCCTTAGTTTCCTCCTCTGTAAGATGGGGATAATAGCAACATCTACCCTCCCCCCAAGGTAGTTGTGAGGATCAAATGAAATATTTGTAAAGCACTTAGCACAGCACCTGACTCATAGTAGGTGTTATATAAAAGTTGTTATTATTATTATTATTATTATTATTATTATTATTATTATTATTATTAGGACAGCCCTTGCCCTTCTCACTTCTTGTGGCAACTCTTTCATTTTCCTCCACCTTTCACTGGTCACTGGCAGGGATTCAGCAATCCTATACACAAGTTCTTTAAATACCCTGGACTACAGTTCCAGTTTCTCTGGTCACTTGAACTCTTCAACAGCAGTCAGGTACTCTCTTACTATACCCCTCCTTATCTTGGATTTCAGTCCCCTCTTAATAATAATAGCTAACATTTATATAGCCGGGTATTGTGCTAAGTGCTTTACGATTAATCTCTTTTGGTCCTCACAACAACTCTGGAAGGTAGGTGCTATTATTAATCCCCATTTTACAGATGAAGAAACTGAGGCAGATAGAAGTTAAGGGACTTGCCCAGAATCACTCAGCTAGGAAGTGTCTGAGTCTGGATTTGAACTCAGGTCTCTGTGACTCCAGGCCTGATGCTCTATCCACTCCACCACCTAGCAGCTCTTAGTTATGTTTGTTTTGACCTTTTTAGTCTCATTTCACTTTGAGTTTTTGTGCTACAGACATCATTCTTATATTTTTGTATTAATCTTCCATTACAAGTGCTTGCTTCCATACTGCATATGTTTTTTTCAGAGCTAAATTGGTTAATGAATTCCCTGTATTTGAATCCCTGACATTTAGCTCAGTGCTTGGCACATAGTAAACACTTAATAAATACTTTTTCATTCATTCATTCATTCATTCATTCATTCATTCATTCATTCATTCATCTGCATGGAAGTGGTAGTTAAAACTAAAAGACTGAATGAGATTGCTGAAAGACAGAGAGATAACACATTTATTAAGCACTTAACTGTGGGCAAAGCACTTTGCTAAGCACCAGGGATACAAATAGAAGTAAACAAAATAGGTGCTACCGTCAAGGAGCTTATATTCAAATGGGGGAAGGCAACACAAAGAGATGTAGAAAGCAGAGTGGAGACAGTTGTTGAGAAGAGAATGTCTGAAAAGCTGAGGCATGAGTGAAGTATGGCTTGGGCCCCTCCTGATTCAGTGGTCTGTGCAAGTATTCACCAGTCAGGAAGGGTGGGACTTCAGGACAGGGTTTTCTCCAAAGTAAGGAGGTAGCTGTCCAGAAGGAGGAGAAATCTAGAGAGCTGAATTATGAATGAAGTGAAGCATACCTGGGCCTCTTGCTAAAACTTGCTAAAACAGTCAGTCACCAACCAGGACAATGCAGCCTCTGGGCCAGAAAACAGAGAAAAAAGGTTAGGAACAGAATTTGTGGGATAACTATACTAGTGGATAGGAAGACAACAAAGAGCCATGAAGAAAGATGAGCAGGAAGAGGACTGAGAGACCATGTTCTCTCAGAAGTCGAAGGAGGAGAGAATAAAGAAGGGTTGTGGGAAAATGTGTTAGTTATTGCAGAAAGATTAAAAAATGAGGGCAGAAAATAGGCCTGCAGATTTATGAAGTAGGAGGTCATTGATGATTTTCAAGAAAGAAATTTTCGTACAATAGTGAGGACAAAAGCCAAGGTTGCAAGTCACTGAGAAAAGTGGTGTTGAAGTAGAGGCATCAAATGCAGATGACTTTTTCAGGCCCGGTTGTAAAAGACAGATAGGATGACAGCTAGGTGAAATAGAAGGATTGAAGAACTTCTTTTTTAATTCCTTTTTTTTTTTTCAGGATTGAGGCAACCTGAGCATGTTTGTAGATAGATGAGAAAAATACAGTGGAAGTGAACAGGGAGAGGATAAAGATGCATGGGAGAAGATGATTGTTTGGAACAAACTTCTGGAGGAGATAATGGGGTCAAAGGTCAAGGGTGAAGGCAGAAGAATTAGCCTTGGTGAAGAGTCATCTCTGACAGACTAAGGAAGAAGGGGAGAATAGGTAATTATTGCTAGAGAAAGAAGAGAAGAGGCAAGGGCAGAGAGCCCATTGTGTGGGTTTATAACAAGCTCCACTGCCAAGATGACCAGCAGGGTATTTCATAAATAACTGGTGAAGCTGTTGTAATACCATGTTGGCAGCAAGTTTAGTGTGCTTCTGAACTCACAGGACTCTTTCTCTCAGACTTCACCTGCTTGGAATAATTCTATTCTAAAACCAGATCAGGGCTACTTGCTCTCTACAATGGGACTGCATAGATTTGTGACCTAGCATGGAAAAAGCTGCCCAAGAATTGAAAGAAATGGCATTGAACTGTCAAAAAGTGTTTTAAAATTGACCAGATGGGAAAATGGTTGTTGATAAAGGAGCTGCTGTTGGTCTTAGAGCACAGTGCTGCTATGGTTTGGGAATTTCTAATGAGATTGGAGATTTTTGAAAAAGCTACATTTGACCATAGCAGATAAAGAAGAGAATTCATATTACATGTATTTAACAAGGAACATTTTTTTAACAGCACCATTTGCCTTAGGAAGGGCAGCTAGGTGGTGCAGTAGATAGAGCATTGGGCTTGGAATCAGAAAGATTCATCTCCCTGAGTTCAAATCTGGCCTCAGACACTTAATAGCTGTATGACCCTGGACAAGTCACTTAACCTTGTTTGCCTCAGTTCCTCATCTATCAAATGAGCTAGAGAAGGAAGTGGCAAATCATGCCAGTATCTTTGCCAAGAAAACCCCAAACAGGATCATAAAGAGTCAGGTATGACTGAAATGACTGACCGGTAGAATAGTAGCTGCCTTAGCAATCAGGCACTCTTCTGTCTTAGAATCTAGGTCCAAAAGATTTTTCTCAGATGCTCCATTCTGACATGCGGGATGCTGTGATGGCCTCTTTGCATTTGTTGGGTAGCTTTCTGATCCTCAGACCTGCTCGGTATACAGCAGACATGGGTGATCTTTATAGGATTGGCTCAGAATGAATGTAAATAGCAATTATTTCTGTTTTGCCAGAAGCCCTGAGGGTCTTCCCCTCCCAGATCTACCATTTTTTTTTTCATTCCATAAATTAACCCATTTATTATTGGACTATGGGCTACAGATATTTGATAAAAGATTTTACTGGTCTTTCCATTCCTTTAGTCTTCTGATGGCAGATTTGACCATAATTGCAGAGGTGATGTTGCAGGTCCATTCACCACCAGCTACTGTTTTCATGCAGGATCCACAATGCCAGATACCCACAGCCCATCTCTTCATTTTGGCCTTGCCACAGAAGGAGCAGGTATACTTGGCATGCTGGCTAATTTCAATTTTCTTCACTATTTTTCTGAGGGATGTACCATAACGTGTTCCATATTTACCAATTCCTACCTTCTTGGTATGTTTAGCCATGTTGCCAGTTGCTGGGCTTGAGCTCAGAGAGGAAAGCTGCTATTTTTTTTAAAGAGTTTTTTTTTTGCCTCATTTCTTATTAAACTTAAATCACTGAATGAGTGTTGCCTCACTCAAATTGAGACCTGTTAAATATCTTAGCTTGAAAAGGCCAAGGTTCCCCATGGCATCCTGGGCCATCTCCAGTTGTCCTGATCTATATCTGGCCACTGGACCCAGATGGCTCTGAAGGAGAAAGTGAGGCTGAGGATCTTGTACAGCCCTTCTTCACTTAAATCCAATTCACTTGCATGTCATGGCATCACCTCCCTGATGTCATGGTCCTCTTTGAGAATGAAGGACAAACAGCAGTCAAATGTGCTCTAAGTAAAATATTTCTAAGCCGTGGGAGCATTAATGAGAGTAGGTTTAAGTTCTATCTTTGCCTATTCTCTGATATATATATATATATTTACCACCTATCATTAGATTCACTACTGGTACATTATTCTGTGGCAATGGGTGATGGATTAGTTCTTTCTAGGGTGTTCCCGTTAAATGATATCTAGAAAGTTTTCAAGCATACAGAAATAGTAAGTGGTGCCAACATTTGGCAGAGAAAGATACAACCCCATTCTCTCAATGATGGGACTCTACATGAATAAATATCTTTATTTGAGTAGCCACCAAGATAGCAATTGGAAACAATAGGAAAAAATGAACTTATTCAATTTTTAACTAGTCAGGTAGATGGCTCAGTGGACCTGAAGTCAGAAAGACCTGAGTTCAAATGTGACTTCAGACAACTAGATGTGTAACCCTGGGCAAGTCACTTACATATGGTTTGTCTCAATTTTCTTAACTGAAAAATAGGTATAATAATAGCACCTCCTCCCAAGGTTGTTGTTGTAAGGATCAAATAAGATAGCATTTGTAAATCTCTTTGCACATGGCAGGTGCTTAGTAAACACTTGTTTGTTTTTTAACTGTCTTTAACTCATCAGATACTATTATTTATATATTTAATTTGTTATGCAAGTAGTTTTGGTTGAAATTATCAATTCAGAGCCCCACTCACATATAAGATCGACATGGTAAAATGTCATGCTTCAAGTACTTGCTAACAGGTAATGAATGAAGGGTTCAGTAAGTAGAATTTCTTGGATCCAATTCCTGGTGTGCAGATGGGTTTACCAGAGTGGATACCCATCTGAAATTCCCACATCAAACACTTAGCATAAGAAAAGCCTGTGTCCTACTCCTGCTGTCATTAGATAATCTCTTCAGGATTCAGATGATATTCGTATTTTGATTACAATTTGGGCACCTGGTTGGTGTTGATACTTTTGTTGTCATTCAGTCATTTTAAATCATGTCTGACTCTTTGTGACCCCATTTGGGATTTCTTGGCAAAGACGCTAGTTTGCAATTTCCTTTTCTAGCTCATTTGACAGATGAGGAAATTGAGGCAAACAAGGTTAAGTGATTTGCCCAGGGTCACACAGCTACTAAGTGTCTGAGGCCAGATTTGAACTCTGGAAGATGAATCTTCCTGACTTCAGATCCAGAACTCTATCCATTGCACCACCTATCCTCCATGTCGGTACTTGGGCAGTCCAAATAGTTTTAAAGTGTTACTTTCCTATAGTAACTCTAGAATAGTTATGTTGTTATTTTGTTCTTTAATGGTCGAATAAAATATCTTTATCATATCTTTATCTTTAAACTTATAATTTGAAAAACATCAAATAAATTATATAAACTTATAATTTGAATGTATATTTTAAATATGTGAATATTTATTTTAAACTTATAATTTGAACAAATATCAAGTAAATATATATCCTGTTCTGGGACAGATGTAGGAAGTAAATGGATAAATGAATATGGATTAAAATTTTCCTAGTATAGATCAAAATACATGAGAGATGGTTATCTTTCTTTACTTCCCATTTCTCAGATCTTTATTTAAAAGCCTTATTTAGGGGCATCTGGTGGCACAGTGGATAGAGCACTGGCCCTGAAGTCAAGAGAACCTGAGTTCAAATCTGGCCTCAGATCAAACACTTGACACTTACTGGCTGTATGACCCTGAGCAAGTCACTTAACCCCAATTGCCTAACACCCCCCCCAAAAAAAAGTCTTATTTATCACTTAAACAGGAAGACATAGAATAATTTTCTCTCCCAACACCATTAGGTCAATGTTATTCCATTCTTCCGTATTAAATGCTAAAAAGAAACCAAATTAATTTTATTTTGGTGAAGTAATATATTCATTAATGATAATTTTTCCATACATTTCACCCCTCAGTCCATTACTTAATTTGGAAATTACTTCTTTGTCAGTAAAGTTTGTAAACTTGTGACTCAGAATAAATTATTTTGGGCATATTTTAGGGGAAGAAATTGGATCCATGTAATTCATGCAATGACTTAATTACTATTTTTGGCAAATATGTTTATCACCAACAACCCAAAAAGAGCTCACCTCTGGTGTACTCATTTCTGAAATGATAAAATGGAGTAAGGGAGTTTAGGGAACTCATTTTAACTGGACTCAATCTTCTCAGTCTGAAGGAGGAGACTAAGATTTGCTAAACTATGCAGTCAGTCAACTAGCATTTATTAAGCTCCTACTGTATGTCAAGCACTGTACTAAGGGACAAGGATACAAAGAAATGGGAGGGAGAAGACCAGCCCCTGCTTTTCAAGGAGCTCACTTATGTGAGCTTTAATGGGTCCAGATGTGGCTGAGAACTTTATGAAAAAAAGAAGACGCTTGGAATTGGGTTGAAGAGAATGATGATAAAAGTATAAAAAATGGATTGTGAAGTAGCAATGAGGACCTAGTTGAGATGACGTATCATTAATTAACAGTGAGTGAAATTAGCTCAAATTTGGACTTTCTCCACTGATGTTCAGCATCTAGGAGTAGGAGCAGAGGAATGCCTGAAATCTTATCTTCAGGTACTTTGGGGCACATGTTTATGATGGCTGCCGGGTTTAAAGGTCTGCTTATGAGAAACAGATGACTTCTGAGGTATTTTCCAGTCCTAAGATTTAATAAATCTATAATTCTGGCATATTCACAATGTCAGAACCCCTGCCCCAACCAAGGGAATGTCTCAGCTGCAGAGGAAGGAGATTCTACTGATAAAGTATCTGAGTGCCCAAAGAAATCAATCTCCCCATCCCATGGGAGGAACCACCATGTGCCCAGAAGGCACAGTGCACCCGCAGTCAGATGTAGGCATAAAGGATTTCAAGGTGAAGGGAGAAAAATGCTGTGATCTCTTCCCCTATGGGAATCACAAATTCTTTTCAATAAACATATATCAAGTGACTACTATATGCAAGGCTCTGTATTAGTGCTGGAGGTAAAAGCAATTTCAATGGCTCTATTTTGCTTTGGATAAAAATACAAATTCTCCATGTTTGTCATGTAAAGCCCTTTAAAATAGGACTCAAGCCTGCTTTTTGGGCTTATTATACAGGGCTTGACCCATGAAAACCCAGTTCTGGCAGCACAGACAGCAGCACTATATGTGTGCTTGATGAGACTTCTTCAGAGTCTGCGTAATGGAATACTGCTCTTTATTTCTCCTATTTCTGAGGATGTGCAGGTAATTCTACGATTATTCTGCTTGTGTGGCAAGGAGGAGCCTGTGGACTGGCTGCTGAGCTGCAACGGGATGTGCATACATACTAAGTCACTAACTGGACCAATAGGCATCTTTCTTTCCTGGTGGAAGGGATTACTATAAGCATCTGGGTGGAAAAAGAGGTAGGACCATTTAGGGAGAGTGGCCTACTCAGCCAGCTGGTTATTTACCCCGGAACACACACAATGACCCTGTTTCTTGCCTGAGTTGTATTCTTGATCTTGAGTGAATGAGTGTTGGAGATGGTGTGGACCTAGGTTATGACCCTGAGAAATCCCCAAAGGCCCAGGAAATGGAGTCCACTGCAGAGTGTGCCGGCAGCTAAACCCAGCCAGGAGCAACCTGTGGAATCTACTAACCATGGGTATACTGGAGCTAACTAGTACCTGAGAACTGATTGTTAAATTTTCAGTGTGAACACTTACTCTTCGGAAATTGGCTAATGCTATAAATTAGGACTTGATTCAATTAATTAATTAATTAATTTTTGTGGATTGTGCTTAAGGAAGTGGTGGAGAATATTATTAATAATGCAGATTAAATTTAAGTGTGTCAGAACTACATTTTTTTTGGAGAGCTTGTTGTTAAATATTCACCAACACGTTCCTAGACAAATAATATATTGAATGACAGAATCAGGCTACAGAAATATCTCCAGGGGCTGGAACAATGGATTAAAACAAATTAGGTACAATTTAATAGTGATAAATATAAAGACTGCACAGTGAGAGGACTCAAAGCTAGGCCATACAAGAATTATTGAAGGAATTGGGGAATGTTTGTCCCAAAGAAGAAAAAAAAACTTGGGAAATATAGTAACAATTTTCAAATATTTGAATGTTTTTCATGTGGAAGAGGGAATAACTTGTCTTGCTTGATTCTAGGGGGCAAAACTTGGATAAGTCAGTAGAATTTACAGGAAGACACAAAGTTTTATCTTAAAATCTCTTAAATAATTACTATGGTTCTCAAAAAATTAATTAAGCTTCCTTGGTAGGTAGTGAGCTGCTTATCACAGGGGTTGTTAAGCAGAGAGTTAATTATCACTGGTCAGAGATGTCAGAGTTCCCTTCCAGTTCTTCATTCTGATGACCATAGTATGAGAACAAAAAATGATGACCAGAGTTATTTAGAATAAAAGATAATAGCAACAAAATGATATAGACAATAACAAAAGATAGAAAGGTTTTTGAAACTGTAAAGTCAGGGAATTGTCAAATAGCTGAGGTTATACACATTCTTCCAGTGCATAAAAGTAACTTGAAGTGGGCTTACTGAGAGGTAGAAGTAGGATGAGATGGGAGGTGGGAATATTCATTACAGTGTAATTGTAGAAATGTGGTACAGTAGGAAAAAT